TTTGTTAATAAAATAGTAATGCCTTACTTAATTGTCGATTAGATTGAAACATTTACTATCAGTTAATTATCAGTTTGTTGAAATTATTAAAATTTATGAAAAAATAAAAGTAAAGTAAGAATAAAAACCACTACATAGCAGAAAGTGGAAATTATAAGTTGAAAAATAAAATGTGAGCTATTAAGTGATCGGATATAATGATTAAAGGATAGGAACCTATCATTCTTGTCATTTTTCAATATTAGCATTTCAATATTCAAATATAACTTATTCGACCGTCATAAATTGAGATTTAAAACTTAACTGTTGTTATTTTTAGAATATAAAACACTTTGCAATATTGCAATAAATCTACTTAATATCACTCATTCCTTCCCTTTTTTCGTTCTTTTTTTCTTTCCCTTTCTCGTTTTTTTCTCACTCGCTCTGACAAGACATCAGAAGGAAGAATTATAGAAATTAATTATCTTAACGAAGTTGATTTTGACAAGGAAAGGCATATGTTTTGTTTTTCTTAATGATCAAAATAACACAACAGCTGTGTATCATAAAGCATCTATGAAATAGTAAAAAAAATGGAATTTTTAAGAAAAAAACAAAATTTCGAAATATACCATTTTCTAAGACACAACCATTTTTTGTTAAAAAAAAAAGAATAAGTTTGAAGGTAGGATAACAATTAGAAGCACAAATGTATACTTTATCAATTTAACTGATAAGAGTGCATTTTGACAATTCACAACTATTAAGATTTTATTTTTCACATAGGCTTTGATAATTGCGGCAAATTTTACTTTTATAAAGAATTTTTAGAAAAGAGAAGAAATTTGGACAACCGCAAGTATATTGCATGCTTAAAAGTGAGCAGTTTTATAAACTCAATTCGACTATCTAAAAATTTTGGTGTTGAGAACCAATTGGAAGAGAATTATAATTAAATTTAAGCTTAATTTTATAAGAAGTTTCATTATCTTGAAAAAAATGAAAAAATAAATAATCATAAAGAAACAAAAAAAAAAATTTATCGAATAGTTTTTTTCAACTTGAATTAATTGCATAGTAACGTTAGTGCATAAGCAATCAGTATAATCTAAAGTGGAAAAGGGTGTTAGATAACCATAAAAGTGGCATAAGCTATTTCAAAGAAAAAAAAATTTTGGTTAAACTTATTGAAGCATGCGACAATGGGACATATTTTTATTTTCTTCTCACCTTATTTCACAATAATTTTAATATTCTAACAAAATAATTTCGAGTAATTTTACTTTATTTACTCGAGCACATTGAACAGAACAAAATTTGCATAGCAACCAAAACTTACAAAAAAAAAAGAAAAGAGAACAGGTAAATTGTGTACAGGAAGGAAATGTAAAAATGTAAAGCTTAAATGCATTTGTTGAATAAGCAGCTGTTATAAAATAAATTGATAGCTCTGAGGTGTGCAAAATAATGAGCAAAAGAAAATTATGATTATCTTCCTTGGAAAAAGAAAATAAATGAAGTAAATAAAAAAAATTTGCTCCTTTATTCCAAACCATTCAATGTTTAAAAATTTGATTAAAAAAATTAAAAGTTAAAATTTTGGAAATTTATCATAAATTATTTACAAATTTTGATATTTTTTGAAATATTGATATATTGATTGCAAAAATATTGCTAAAAAATTTCAATTACAAACGAAAAAGTCAATTGATATCGATTATTATAAGAGTTTTTTTTTCACACCATTTCACTCAATGCATGCTATTTTCTCAGATTGTATTATAAGACGATGAATTAATTGTCATCAGCTAAGTAAATTCAATGCTAACTTTCATGCTATCCATTCCCTCGTTACAACTGCACGTTTCATAGTTCATAGAATGATAATTTTTTTAGTAATATCAAATTTTTCGTAAATTGTTGAAGCGATATTTAGTATTTAAAAAATGAAAAAAATTTTTGCCTTTGAATTAACTAATTAGATATCAACTAAGAAAAAATAGTAAACAACAAAATGTTAAAATTTTTAGCATAAAACCTTTGTTATTTTTGTTTCACTTTTGTAGGTAGTAGAAAATTCTTTACAATATTTCTCGTTTAATATTTCGGAAGTCAGAAAGCTCAGGTACCTTCACGTAGTATGGATTTTTTTCCGGCCTATAAATCTATAAGGAAGTCAAATAATTTTCAAGAAAAGGTGCTAAAGGCATGGAAAGAAGAATGAGATTTTTGAGAAATAATAACCGAAATTCTTTTTATTACTTTCTTCTTCAACTATTCATTTATTTTTTTGAGATTTAATGATCGAATTTATATTTTATCAACAGCATACCCCGTATCGTTTGCTTGAAAATAAAATTTCAGCAAATCTTCCAACAATAGCAATTACTGTACGAGTAATTAAGCACGATATGGGTGTGTCATAACGACTGTCACGGCACACAATACTGTCCTAAGATATCTTAATGATACTTTTGCTTCATGTAAACCACATTATTTTATTTTCGAATAATTTTTGACAGTTTTTTATACAATTTATTATTATTCAATCTCTTATGAAAAATATAAATTGTTACTTATATAGCCGACTGGATCTTACTAGATTCTTTTTTTTTGGCAAATTTATATTCGTTGGATAAGTTTTTTCTGGAAAATGATATAGTTGGATATTAGCACATTTAGCGTGATATCTTTTCCTGTCCAAAGGCTTTTTGTCAACATCAAAGGAAACCAAAATTTTCCATTTTAAACGAAATAGTCAAATAATGTAGAAAGAAATCGAAAAGAATTAATATGTTAAATGATAGCGAAGAAAGTATTTTTCCTTCTTAAAGAGGCTAAAATCAGAATTCACAATTTTGCGATATTCAACCAATGCTACTATCACGAAATCTTTTAAAAAGTAAAAGTTTGCCCTTGCTTACAGTATAAAACTGTGTGACATCAAAATTCGTCGTTCATTTACGTCAACAAAGTTTACGTTACTTTAGCTAACGTGTTATAACATAAATACGTCAAAAAGACACGGATTTTCTTTTATGCACTATGCATCAATTATCATTTTCAATCACTTATAGATAGTAAGAAATTTTGCACTGACATCTATCTCTCTGTTTGCAATTCAAAAAAAAAAGTGTAGCAATCATTTTTTATTACCATTCGAATTTATGGAAAATAATTTAAAGAATTTCAAATATTATAGAGCAAAATTTTGACTGAAGCACTTTTTACTCAGCCAAAGATATGGCTGGGAACTTTATTATTCGGCGATATCTAAATTCAAATCTTTACACACCTCGCATATATTGTACAAAGAAGTTTTTTGACTCCAAATTTCTGATTGAAATGACAAAATTAACTTCAAAATAGCAGCGAAATCGCTATAATCTTTGACGGATGTGTTTAATAATTTCGAATTTCAGTTTTGCGTTATAAAATCTGAAAGAGGAGAAAATTTGTAAATATCTCACTAATGGAAGAAGAGAAGAAGGGAGAAAAAAAAAATGGAGAGATAATTTTGAAGAATTTCAGGTTGCCTAGCTGCATAATCTCTTGATTTTAAATATATGGATAACGAGAGATCGTTTTTTAAGAAGCTCCAATAAGGAAAGTATTCCAGCTTCATCTCATTCAGTAAGACAAATAAACCGGAATAGTTCCTTTAAGTTTTCCGAAAAATAAAAATATGGAAATATGTGTTATTTTTCAAATCATTTTCTTTGATTAGTTATCAAAAAAACAGCATTGTTTTAATTAGTCTTTAATATACTTTATCATATTGCTATTGATTAGCTTGCAAAAATTAGTTACTCCAACTAAGTAAAACAAAGAATTTGAAAATTTTCAAAGAAGTAAACCTGAATATGTAAGCAATTGGAACAAATATTTAATCTTGGAATTGCCAATTTTCAGAGAATTTCTATTCACTTGCTATTTATTTTTGATGCACACATTTTGTGATTGCAAAAATTGAGTTCAAAATAATATACAGAATATTAAATGTCAGAAGATCAATATTAAAAAAAAAGGATATACAAAAAGAAACATTATGGACATTTTGTTTGTTCGGTCGGTTGAATGATTCTCCTTAAATTAGAATCCGATTTGAGAAATTATTAATTTTGTTATGTTAAAGCTAATGTACATTCATTCTTGTCAAATACTAATTAAGCTAACGTATGGACATTTATCCAATTCCACATCAGAATTTAAAATTGGAGATAAAAAGTCACCGAAGCATTATTCTGCCTCGGAACCTAAACAATAAATCATGCGCTTTTCATCTGAGAGCTGATATTTACACCTCGATCAGTACTGTGAGTACTGTCACCTGCATCTGACCCAACCCATTGCAGTTCCAGATTAAATCCATATTCTTTAGTTTACGTTTAATTTACTATATTTTCTTAGTTCCTTTTTCCATATTATGCTAACATTTTCGGTAGAGTAACTAGATTGAACACATTTTTCAAAACTATGTTTTAAAAATTTTTGGTTCATGACTAATTTTAAATTAACAATTTATGGTAATATTTTAGATCAAAAAGAGAATTATCTGATAACAGAGTAGTTGATAGGTGAGAGATAATTAGTATAAATATAAAAAAAAAAATAATTGCAAATGTTTGGAGTTGTCAATTTAAAAGAAGGCGCAGAAAAGCATTAATCACGGTAGTAATGTAACCGGTACTACTTACGATATGTTCCTAAACACAATGTAACGGAAGAAAAATACCATAACAATTTTACTCTCTCATATATGGGTACCGGAACCGTTACAGATCGAAAACATAAAATTATCTAATTGCTGTAAGGTGAACAAAAGTGAATATTTGAAATTTGCTTTATTTAAAAGAGTTAGCTTAATAGAGCTTAAATTATAATTAAAATAGATCAGTTAGAAGCAATGAGTCAGTGTCTTCTATTATTAAATGTGGAAAGGAAAATTGAAATATTTCCAGTGAGATTATTTTAATATGCGGAAAGGTTTGATGACATAAATGACATCGTCGTATTCTTCAAGTGGTTTGAGTCTCAGTGGCAGTCATATCTTTTGTCATTTCTTCTTCTTGCTTCTTCTTCAATTTTTTGATAAGTTCTTTGTCCATCTGTTGAAGAAACTCATCACATGCCTTCTTTGCAACAGGGAACTGAAATTTTTGAGGTTTTAACGGAATTTAAAGGAACGCACTTCCTATAGTCTATTTTTATCTTACACTTATTTTCACTTTCATTAAGTTGTTTCTGGAATTCATGAATTGCCACAGTTCAATAACTTAATGTGTTGCTTTAGAGAATCATCAACCATTGTTGCAATTATTTGTCTTTCTTTTTTTAAAACAAATCATTAACAAACCGGTACAAGCATTGGATAAAGATTACGAATTTCTTCACGTATGTACCAACACGTAAGAATAGTGACCAAAATGATAACCGTTAGAGGGATAAGATAGCCGAATATGACAAGATCAAATGCTATCCTCCTAAGCCAAAAAGTTTGAATTAAAATTTAGACTTAAATTTCAAACTGTTATGAAATCAATAACTTTGTTTTATAGATACTGAAATATGAGAACTGATTTGAATAATTAAATTTGCGACATAAGATCAGCGATTTATAAAAATTTAAATTGAAATATAAATCTCTTTATGACCAAACTTTATTTCAAATGGCACGAAATTTTTATAGAAATGAAATCCATATTTTTCTTTTCCTCTTCAAAATCCAACTGGAATTATTCATACCGTATTTGTTACAACGATCATCCGATTCCGAACAAAACTTTTCCTTCTTTCTAACTTTGTATTAAGAATATATTTCCCAATTTTTGATTCATTTCTCTTCAATTTATATTTCCAAATTATCATTTTATCACTTATACTGAAATCTATGAAAATAACAAAAGGAAATGAAAAATTTGCTTCAGTGTAGTGGAAATATTGAGGACAAATTTGTCTGCCATTGCTATTACAAGCGGTGAAAGTCGCAATGCGTCAACAATATCATCCAATGGTTTGTTAACATCAGTCATCACTTCAATTACCTTAATTATGCAAAAATTCATTTCAATTAATCTTGTAAGTTTTGACTACTTAGCAATTTTTCTGCTCCAACAAAAATTTGTTCTCTCATAATTAAAAAAAATGCAAAGAATAAAAGTCTGAAAAAAAAAAAATTAACCTCTTGAAATGTGAACAGGGCACCTGCATATTTTGCAAATGCAATAGCGATATCCAAACTTGTACCATCACTTCCATCAATAGCCAAAGTTGTTACGAGAAATAGTGTAATACCTGAATTAGAATAATTTTTGAAAATTTTCAAACAATTATTGAGAATAAGAAAAGGCAAAGCATAAGATTATACCGTCAAATTTTAAAGCATTAATCAAATTTGCAATTAAATTAGTACCAAGCCGCATCATGAAATTTTTTAAAAGCTATAAAAGTACAACCGTACAAAAGCTATACTTCAGAAAAAAATAACGTTCTTTTGAAATGTCTTTTATTTTAAATTAATGCTTATGCCGATAACTTATTGCTGCTAGAAAACGACTGTATGAACTACATCTTTGGCTTATTAGACCTAAATAATAAAATTTTAATTAAGATTGCAATTAATTGTGCAAATTCGTGAATTCTGTCATTCTCTCAATGTTTTAGTGAAAGAATATATTAAAATCTTACCCAATTATAAATCAGAACTTTGGTCAGCGCTACGTCTGTTTCATTTAGTGATCATTCTTCTATTTCGTTAAATTTTGCTCCTAGTCAAAGATCTTAATTTTAATACTGTTCAATAAAAATGGTGTCCATTGGAGAGGTTCTCAACAAATGCTTATAAGCTATCTCGAAGTTTTTCTTGACACTATTTCTTTGAATGCTACAATAGAAGTAGTGCGATACTTGAAATCTTTAAATCAGTGCAGAAATTAAATTAAATAGGATAAATTATCTACTTTCAAACCAATTTTTGAAAAGAGTCTCATCTTGTGGTGTTCCAAGCAACAGCTTTCAAGTCTTAAAAGTATTTGAAAAGCTCATTCTCTGAAGAGGTCTTCATAATAAGCTCTTCACTTTTTCCGAATTCTTTTAATGCTTAAATCTGGGTACATAGAAATTTTGTATAGTATCAATTGAAAATTTCAAATTGGGATGAATTGAAATTAAATTTTGAGGTTTGAGTTCTGTTTTTCTCTATATTCTTCAAATGATAATTTTATAATATTTCATCCGATTTGGCTATTTACAAGTTTGCCGTCGAAGATTTCAGAGGAACTCCAACTGGTATTTCAATTTGGCTCTTTTGGAATAAAATTTTAGTTTTAGTGGGTGATTGACAATTATGCATAATCAAATATTTTGCGAAGAATTATTAAAATGTAAGAAGAAAAGATAACGAGAATTTGGGAGGCATCATTATGATTATAGAAGAAATTGAGAAAAGTGAGAAAATAAAAAAAATTGGGAGACAATTAGAACATGGAAAGGAGTGATATAGAAGAAATGGGAAGAAAAGGATGCGGTATATATGAAGAGACGGCAGACATTACTGAAAATTTTAAAGAATATTAGTTCGAAGATCGAGAAAAGAAATGAATATTATATGGATATCCGTTGTACCAGTGATTAAGAGCTCGATTAGTTAGATTGTTGAACAAAGTACCGAACATAGAGTGAAGTCTAATCTCGAAAAGACAATAATTGCGGTAATCTAATAGGTATTGTTAACTGACGGGGAGGAATGAGTATTCTCGACTTCACTTCTTTCCGCTAATGTTTCCTGGTCGAAGGTTCAGGATTAATTGGCCAATAGTTCGTTCAACGACTTATTTCAATTAGCGTTAGAACCCGATATTTTGTACTTACTTATGACTTTCTTACTTGCTTACAATATATTTACTGTTATTTTCTTACTTCATGCTTGTTTATTTATCATCCGCGTAACAGAATTTGATCATCATCGGTTGTCTAATTATGAAATCTGTGCTCCATTAACTTTTTTTTATTAATACTCTTAATAAATTGTCCGTTAAAAAATCTTTAAATGTTCTTTGGGGAATTTCTTTCTAGACAAATCAGCTTATTTTATCAGTAAGTTTTTTTTAGCATATTGGCATACTACACTTTCTTTCAGCCATTCCAGATGAGGCCCAAACGGGAATCATGGCTAGCTGATCAAGTTGGTATACGCGGCATAGAACTGTATATTCCGAAATTATATATAACTCAGAAGGATCTTGAAACGGTAGCTTAATTTTTTATTGGTATTTATAATTGTGTAGCTTATGTTAGGAGTGTACGTTCGTGGTTGACCTTTACCCTTTTATCAAGTGGTTTCAGGAATGACTTTTATCAAACGGAAAAAAAAGTATTGATAAGACTAAATCTTTTGTTTGCTGTTTGATTTTCTCACTTTCTCGTTCTGTTTCCTTTTCTGCATTCCATAGTATTTCATTTTATTTTCCTCTCTCCATATTTTTCTCATTATTTGCTATTTTCCGTCTTCTTTATGCTTATTTCAATGATGTTTCAAAAGATTCTTGAATATTACGCTTTAGGTGGCAAGGAACTTAATTTTCTTTGAATTTATTTCAGTTTGACAATGTTCAGAAGGGCAAATATACTGTTGGGCTTGGACAAGAGGAAATGAGTTTCTGTGCAGACCACGAAGATATTACGTCCATTTGTTTAACAGTTGTATCGAAATTACTAAAGAATTATAAAGTATGATTTTTGTTCTGTGTAACTGTAAAGAACTTCAATGCAAATGACTTCAAAAGCGGCGATATTCGAAGTTTTTGCAGTGCCCTAATAGAAAATGAAATGAATAATTGAGTATATCAATTTTGCCTCAAGAACAGATTGGAAAGGTTGAATAATCCGTAATGGATATACGCACTGCTGAAGCTGAAAAATTGTATCCATATAGTTATTTTTTCATCACTAAAGATAATTATGACTTTAATTAACATTAAAGTAACTAACTTCAAGTGTCTTTGGAAAATTTAGCTGCAATGTATTTTATAAAGTAATCTTCTCACTGTATATTTGAAAATGACATTTTGCATCACTTTTAGTATGACATCGTATTCGTTGATTTCCATGGAACTTTAAATAAGTAATTAAGTTCATAAACTGTGTTGCAGCTTTCTGCCAGTGATATTGGTTTCCTTTGTGTTGGAACGGAAACATTGACGGACAAAAGCAAAAGTGTCAAAACTTCGTTGATGAAATTATTCGAGGAGAATTGCGATATCGAAGGAGTTGATGTGAAAAATGCGTGTTATGGTGGCACCCAAGCCTTATTTCATGCTATTGATTGGATTCATGCTAACTGGGAATTTGAAAGTGAATACTTTGTGTAGATCACATTTCCATGGGTTGCTTATGACATTGTTTAATATTTTTTTAGACCGTGTTGATTTAGAGTTCATATTATTCACCGAGCGAAAAGTACTTCACTTTGCTTTTATTTAATTTTAGGGCGCTATGCAATTGCTGTTATGGCAGATATAGCAGTTTATGATGCTGGACCTGCACGATGTACGGGCGGTATGTATGTTGTGAAATGTATATTATTGTTGGGTAGACTGAAATGACTAGAAGCAGAAATCTGTAAGATTAGTCCAGGTTTTAGAATTTCAGCGTGGAATATCCGGATTTGATTCCTAAAGTAAAAAAAGCAATTTGTGGACTAATGAATAGTAATAGGGTAAAAAACATTATATTATCAATATCAGGAATTAGAAAGAGTTTTTCAACTTCTCGATGATTTGTCGTGGAACATTTGTTCTCAATAGAGGCATTCACTTTTTATCTCACATGCTTGACTTTTTTTAACAAAGTTCATTTTTGATTTGTTTATAGGAGCCGGAGCCTTTGCTGCCTTAATTGGTCCAAATGCAGTATTGTCGTTTGAAAGAGGACTCCGTGCAACCTATATGGTTGATGTTTACGATTTTTACAAACCAAATCAACCTGTACCCTCAGAATATCCTATTTTCGAAGGCCAAGCCAGCTTACAAGCTTATCTCACTGCCGTAGACGAAGCTTACAAATTGTATTGTCAAAAGTCTGAAAAATTGAGAAATGAAGGTCTTAAATTTTTAAAACTTAAAGTATTCACTCTTTTAATAATATCAAAATTATTGTATCTCATTTATTCAGTATTTTGAACAAACTCATTTGATTCAAATCCAAACAAAAAATCAGAATATAACTGATGCGTAATACTTGATTCCAGTAGTGGATATTTCGAATTTTGACGCTGTGTTTTTCCACTGTCCATTTACCCGTCTTGTTCAAAAAGCTCTTGGTGTGTTAGCATTTATTGATTTCAAGCGTGGATTATGCGATCATTTGGTAAATGTCGAACGGGCCAAGCCTTCACAGTTAGACTTTTATTTAAGAATTTTGAATATAAGTAGTAATATATTTTGAAATATGAACTTCGATATATTTTCATATCTTTGACCCTAGTAAGCTTTCTTCAAAACAGCACATAAAATGTTCGATAAATATTTTATATGTTATTATGAAAAAACCGTTTATCAATTTGATCGATTTTAAGGAAGCTATAATTAAAACTAAATTTTCGAATGATTGCCCTCTAATATCTCAAAGAAATCTTTCCTAAATCTTTCGAGAAAACTGTATTGTTTGCCATTACAGGTTTTTACTTGAATCACGCGAGCTAAATTATATGAGTCGCGATTTTGCTAAGATGACAGCGCAAATAAGCGCAAAACTTTGGACAGAGAAAACCGAACCATTTCTGCTACTTAATCGTCGAATTGGAAATACATATACAGCATCACTTTATTTACAACTGATTTCTTTTTTTCATTGGCAAGTTTTAACATATTTCTGCGTGTTCCTTCTTTTTTTTACAAAATGGATTGTTGTTAGTACTTCATATATTACATGCAACTAATTTTAAAAAATATTTATTATGCACATTTGTGACAGTTCTTTTTTTGCGTATTTGCAAACATAATTTATTTAATTTATTTTTTAGAAAGACTTCTTGCCTCTTCCAATCAGTTTGGTTTCATATCTTGCAATAACCATACATTGCTTTTGTTCTTTAGCATTCTGTCAAATGATATTAAACTTCTCATAAATTCTGATTCCGGTATCTTATCACTGTTTGCGTCTGGTAATGGCTAAATTGACAAAGTTTCGGTAAATAAGTAGGACACGAGTGTTTAATGACTAATCAGAAAGTTCAAATTTGTAAGACTCCAATTGGCCTGTGGATTTCACGTAACACTGTGGATCTTCTTAAAATATATTACTGCTCTGATATATAGTTATATCGTTGCCGATGTCGCACTCTCGAATAAAATTATGATCAATTTCTACTTCACACTAATTTAACAAATAACATCAAACATTTTCTCTTTTTCAGTTCGCCGGATGAAAGAGCTTTAGGTGGTCAGCGACTTTTATTTTTCTCTTATGGTAGCGGGGCAGCTGCAGCAATGTTTTCCGCTCGAATACTGATACTAGAGAAGGGTGAGATTCTGAAATAATGGATAACATACTTAGCATAGTAATTACCATGTGAAATATAGAACTAATATAAATGTTTAATCAAGTCGTGGTTTCATGTTTTTCAGATGCTGAAGATCAGTGTACTCAAATGAAACGAAGCGCAAATGCGGCTGTAGCATTATTGGAAAAACGTTTATGTATAGATCCAAAACGTTACAGCGAAATCTTGGCTCTCAGGGAGAAGCTTTTGTCAAGTACAGGTACAATATTTTCTGTAAAATTTGTATTTGTCTGTTGAATCCATGTGAATTCTTTTTTAGCATTTATTTATAGAAGCAGAAAGTTTTCCTAAATCTTGCGCATATGAAAAGCTGAAATAATATACAGTGACTGAAATGCATGCGACTAAAAATAAATAAATGAATGGAAAAATTTTTTTATTCATTTATTTATTATCCTTATTGACTAATTTTGTAATTATTTATAAATTTCTGTTGCTGCACATGAGTTTTTTGTTTGGAAAGATTTTAGTTTATTTCAGCTCCGTACAGGCCAGAAGGCGTGAGAAATAATTTGATGGATGAATTCAGCTTATTTCCTAATACGTATTATCTGATGAATATCGGAGACAAGTACAGGCGATATTATGCGCAAACATCCAGTTAGGATTGTTGTAATTTATTTGAAAGTAGCTGTAGAATATTGCATTCTTGTGTGTGTCATTTCCGATTAGAATTTTAGTTTAATTTATTCTTCCCGACGATGCATGTTGTAATCGTGATTCTATGTTATTATCTTAGTTTTTCGAGTTTTATCACTCGGACGAAGTGTATTGCTGATCTGATAATTTATTTTTATAATTTTATATGTTCATATGTGATTTTGCATAATTTCCGCAAATTTTATCTTCTGTTTCATATTTTATACCATTTGTACGTTCAGTTAAAGCTTTACACTACTTTTACATCTCAAGTTCAGGTTCATTCAGTTGGAAGTGCGTAGAATAGTACTTGCTAATTCATACTGGATGACATCACTACTCCATTACTTTAAGTGAACAATATTTAGGATAGATGCAGTGACATTAGTTAGTTTAGACTAAAATTTAAGCACAGGTAAGTAATAGTCTTCTGGGATTTTAAATTGTTTGGTTCATGACGGATGCTGCATGATGGTCTCTGATACTTTGAAGTGGACATCATTATTTCCAGGTCTTAATAGAGTAAATTTTTAGTAGAGTACCTCGCAATTTTGGCGTATTGTGTTTATGAAACTTTTTTTAGTACTTAAATAGGTGAAATAGGATGCAAACACGAATTCCTGAAAAGAAGAAAGTGTATTTGCAAGACATTATATTACATCACCAGGCCGTTTGATAAATGGTTTGAGTGAATCATCCCGTTCTTTAAGCAGATTTATACATTTCCCAGTACAGTTAAAATAACTATAAGGACTTGCTCTTTGAAAAAGGTAAATCTTTTGCAGCAGTTGTTCCCTTCAGTAATAAAGGAAGCTTTGTTCCCATAAATTGTGTACTTGTAAGCGAATCAGTCCTTGCTGTAACCGAATGGCAAGGGAATATCAAAAATGATAGGGTCATATTCTATCCTCAGTTTGTGATCGCAAATGGATGCGTTAATAAACATGGTATGGCCATTTGTTGTTACACCATGCAATTGATGGATATGTCCGAAAACATGATATTTCGGTTTAACTCGTTTTTCCACTGTATTCAACAAGTCTGCGCAGCCGGCTAGTACTCCATCACATTTATTCCAGCTGTTAAAATCACCATGTCCTGAAATAATTTTTTTTAGGAATATTGCTTATTGTAGAAGAAATGTCAGACAAATAGATAAAATATTATTTCATAATTAATTGTGACTTTTAACGAAAACTAAATCAGTGCATAAATTGCCTTCAAGCAGGAAAATTTTCGAAAAAAAGGAAAAAAGCAAGGAGACTATTATGCTTACTTTAATGACATTATTAACAAGTTAAATTTTTCCAAAATATTACCAAGAGGTGGTGTATGAGTAATAAGTACATCAACGTTAGAAGGAATAATTTTCCATTTTTGCATTATCGAGTAACCTCGTGAACGATAAAATGAATAACCCGGCATTGAATGCCACGGAGCACCATAGATTGTCAATCCATAAATCTAAATTATCTATAATTTAATAAATATTATTAAACAATCAACATATACACATATACCATCGGTACTTGGTTATTCAAAAAAAAAAAAACGAATAATAAAAATGAAAGAAAAGCGGAAGAGGAAAAGAATTTCGAAGGAATTCGAATTTCATTATTATTCATGTTCATCTATTCAATAACTGATTGATTAATTATTCTCAAAATTTGAACATATACAACGGCAGACTGATGGTAATGATGTTGGACAGATTTTTTTTTATTGAGAGCAGCTCTTTAGGTACACTTCCTTCAATTTTTTCCTTTTAATAATTGGCATGAAGAATTGTGGTGTATCTTCCAAAGGTTAAACCGAAGTTTCCTACGAAATAATCTCCTTGTGATTATCAAATTGGATTCAAACATATACTCAGAAAAGATGGAAATTTGGACGAGAGAAGGAACAAAGTTCGCTTTCTTCTAACTGAAATAAACATTTTCTCCTTTGCGTACTGATTCTATTTCATCTTCAAAATTTGATTTTGGCACTCTGATTTTCTATTTTATTTGCCATTGTATATATCTTTTTTCCTCTATTAGGTGTTGCTTAATAGCTTTATCAGTCTAAAAACTCGTGGAAAGTTATTTATGCTGATGTTTATGTCATAAATATTCATAAATCGCAAAAACTGTAAGAGATTATTTTTTAAAATATGAACTGTTCAAGAAGTAGCTCGGTTTATTAATTGAGTAAGCAAACAACATTTAAAAGTAGGCAAAAAGTCAGTTACCTCAATCTGTCGATCGCATAAGTAAGAGCAATTTGTTAACAATTCATAGGGTTTGTTGATACCTAGCATATTTAAGCCAGCAAGTTGCTTTTCATTTAATTCTTCACCATCTTCAAAACCAATTTCATGGTTTCCAGCCACGACTATCTTATGCTTGTGCGGCAGACTCCCTAAAATTAACGACAACTACTATCAGCAAATGTCAAATTGATTAAATTAAAATCCATGTAAATTTATGAAATGATAATTTGAAGCGAATTGAAAATGTACCAATTTGGGCATTGAACTTGATTACTTCACCAATATCTCCATAATTTGTAAAATCACCGGCATGGATAAGTACATCACCGCCCGGTATCACGGGCAATAGTTCTTCCATCTTTTCGTGAGTATCGGAGATGCATACAAACCTTATCTTATTTTCAAAGATCGGCGTATCAAGCCTGAAAACGATACGAGATATTGACACACTTACTTTCCAATAATATTTTTACTTCTAAATAAGGCAGTAACTAATTTTGATTATAATTACATAAAACTAGTAATGACGAATGTTTCGTTAATTCAAATCATCATTAATAAATCAATTTACTTAAAAAAATCAGTTTGACAATAATTTACAAATGCTTAAAATAGGTGCGTATAAAGTTATTTTGAATTTACCGGAGCGGCTTAACTGGCTCAGAAACCCGTCCTTGTTTTAAATATTTGCGCCACAACTCGATCGGTTTATGTGATAGCGGATCAACTGGCACGATATTTCGTTCTGCCATATTTGTTTACTCTCGAACTTTTTTTTTCAAGTTTAGACAAATTTCAAGTATGAAGAAGATTTCTCATCAGCAAATATGAAGCAGATGTTCAGATATTAATTTAAATAGTTCCTTTTTTCGTCAATAATTGGAGAATGGCTTTTTTCAGCTCAAACTTTTTTTTTTCTATTGGATACGACCTGAAAAATCTACCTCAATGATTTTCATTCTCATTCATCTTGCCTTCATAAGCAACAAAATGATAATCGCAACGGGATATACAGAGATTTCCTTGAATATAAAATCGTTTATCATTGAATTCATTTCAGTTTTGCTTCACTCATCAAACAAGAAATCATTTAACAGCTAACATTTTCATTTATCTCATATGTCAAAAAAATTTCGTAGTACATTTTTCATGGAAACAAATGAATGTGTCAGATGAAAAAACTGTTGAAGAAGTGAATAACAATCACAAAGAACTGTGAAAATTGAATTGTGAAAATTGAAAAAATTTAATAAGCTTTACTGCAATGAAATATTCAAGCAGTAGTTGCCAATAAAGTTAATGGAATGTAATGCCAAATTGAAAGTTAAAAAATAAGATATAAATTACTGAAAAAAAGAGATTATACTATTTGTTAGACCGAAATGCTGTAATTAATTAATCGGTAGTTTTATCATATCAATAAAAATTTGATATTTATAATTTACTGAATTATAATTGTTACTTTTGACGAAAATGACATAAATTTGAATAAGATTCATATAAAAACGTAGAAATATATAATAGATGATAATAATATCCTATTTAATTTTCATTAGTGACACAAATTTAAATTAGTGTTACAAATTTCAAAAAAAAAAATTTTTTTTAATTAGTGATATAAATTTCAAGCATAATAAAGATTATGCGTGAAATTTGTATACTAATTTTAAATTTACAAAAAAAATAAATTCAAAATCTATGACTACAGGAACTTATACCGAAGCGGAATTCTTAAGAATGACCTGAAAACGTGATTTTATGAGAAAAAGGAGTAGTTTTACAGCAAATTCGAAGGCATTATCAACCGAATACTTCATCAAACAATAAAAAACAAATGACATCGAAATCTAATTTAACTATTTGTCCATTTCTTTATCACTTGAAAGATAGGAAGATCACAAGTATTCACATACACATTTTTTTAAAACATTTATCAAATTCAAAAACCAACATTTTTTAAAACGTTTATCAAATTCAGTATTCTGTAATAAAACCAATATAATGCACATAAGAATAAATAAGCAAACTGATTAAAATCAGAGAATTAAGTGAGCGAAGATGAGCAACAAACTGAATTTAACTTGCTTAATGTTGACCAAAATAATTTCAAAAATAAGAAATATGGTGATTTTTGTTCAATTTTTCTGCGTTAGCTAAACCAAAATTTCAAATCAAAAAGTTGTAAATTTTCCCATTAAACTTTAAAATATACTTTTTGATTTATTCTTCAATAACGCATCCTGCAATTACTCATGTATGTTCTAACATAAAGCAACCACCATGTGGAGAAATGTCGCTCATGAATTGCCATTTCGATATATCATTTTCAAAGCAATCCTCCTTTACACTTAAATTGTTTTGTTTATTTCATTTGTTGAACGAGCTGTGTGAAATTTATGGTTTCTAGTTTGGCTACAGAGAAGGGGGAGGGGTGATCACGCGATCAATACTTGAAAAAATAATAAAGAATAATCACTTTGTCTCCAAACTATGCCAAATATCGTCTTACTTCAGATTAAATTGCTGTTCGAATTACCAATTGAAAATGATGGCATACATTCAAAATACAGAAATTGTAATTTGAAATAAACATAATCTTTTCACTAGTTTTGTTAGAGTTATGTCGTAAAAATGAATTAATAATTTCCGATTGAGAGAAATAAAGCACAGATGAAACTTTTAACTTTTCAACTGTATCCCTTCTTTCCTACATTATTACCGTACATATTAAACTGAAATGGAAAACAATCATTTCAAAAAATCCATCTTAGCAAATGATAAAAGAATATTAAAATCAGCTTAGATGATAATTTACAATTAAAATTAGGTGGAAAAAATATAATAATCCTATTTCGTCCAAGTAGCAGTAGTAGTAGAAGTAGTAGCAGTAATTAGTTGTAATAATCGAATGATGTCTTCCTTGTCTATGACTGCTCTCAAATCAGCATTATTCATCATCAGTTTTCGATCAAATAATGATAATGATGCAATATCGATTGACAACTGAAAGATTGGCATAAATATGTATATTTGATTTATTTTTCTCCTCGGCGTTTTCTCTAACCAGTTTGCGCATTATGTATTGTTAATTATTACTATATGGATGCATAAATTTGTCATATTAAAATTTCAATACCATTTATAAATTAATCGTTTCTTATGCATTATCCATTCTTATGCATTATTTTCTTTTGGTTATCCCATATAATTTTTTTGAAAAATCTTTTGAGTTAAATATTTGTTGCCAATTATATACCTATTGCCAGATGATAAAAATAAGCTATACAAAAATGCTATTATCTTTTAAAAATAAATAGATAATTCCAAACAATATGGAAGTAACTAAAAATGCTGTTTGAGATTCAGCAAATTTATATTTGTTAGATTATGGTATGCTCTTATACGGTACTACATTTATGTATGTTATTTATATGAATTTAAACTGTCAGTGCTTATTAATGTTTTGTAAAAACTATGTAAAGTATAAATTATTAGAAAAAGATGTTCCAAAAATATCAAAATAAAAGCTTCTTTTTGTTTCCTCACACAATAATTTTGTCGCCAAAATTGTCAGTAAAGAATAAGTCGAATTAGTGTTAAATAAAAGTTTTCTGTTATTCACTAATATATTGAATATAGTTATTCCTAACAGTTTTCGCGAACTTTTGTTTACATTTATCGGCGAAAAGAAAAAATTTTCTCGAAGTCACTTTTTTCCTTCCTTATCATCATTTCGTGCTGTGAATCATGAATTTATTATACTGCAAGCGTTAAAGAATTAAATTTTTCTAGTTAGATTCCCATGAATTTTCGTGATTTTTAACATATGTTCTTGTATGATTCAACCAATAAATGTGGCACTCGTTGTAAATTGCAAGAATATACCCAATTACAAGACTCAAATGGATTTCAAATCTAGCATCGTAAATTAAAGCTAATATCAAATCCTAATAATCAGTAACAAAGTAATGTTTTCGAAATATGAATGACAATTTCATTTAACCAAAAAATAATTCAAATTTATAACGCCTAACACACACGCGTATTTCCTGCGCAGTCAAATTTATGAACAACTGATAAGTTGTGATGATAAAGAAATAATACTTCAGAGGACTTATGAGTAAACAAATAAAGAAAAAGGCTCTTTTATAGCAAATGTCTTTAAAGTGATTTTCAAAAGTCAGTTTAAAGTAATCTAACAAGTGATGAATATATAAAATATCGATATGAAGAAGTAAAAGCATTTTACTCAAAGAAAGTAAAGATAGCTCGTTCAAAATAAATGCAGCGAATCTCTATTCAATACCTATCATTTTGAGAAAATATTCCAATTTTCACAACGATAATTGAAGTTAAAGATTTCCGAAGGAATATAAATGGCAAAAAAGAGTAATAGGAGCTAGCAAAAAGAAATTTAAACTTTTGAGTTGTAAGAAAATAACCGAAGTATGGGGACTGAACATAAGCAAAAGACACAATCCGGAAAATAAAAAACAACCATTGACTTATGGCAAATATGTGACGTAATGCAATGCCCGAACCTCACATTTCTTTCCTTATCACGACAGAAAGCTCGATTGGTAATGGAATAAAACATGCGACATATCAAAATGCAATCTTACACCCCTCACCTGCCTAATAGCAACCAGTTCGAAAATAGGGAACTTCCCATCCCGTCCTCCTCTCTTTCCTCCTTTCTCCTCTTCCATCCCTCTTTTCCGTGATTTTCAAGGTCGCTTTCAATTGAACCAAAGATTACAATCTGGAAATTTTTAATTTCCAGATTGTAATCTTTGGTTCAATTGAAATCTTTGGTGAACTTGTGCACATCGTTGTTCTTAATAAACAATAATTAGAAAACTACGGAAAACATCTTATGCGAGATTTCTACACTGATAACATTTGAAAGATTGTGTTTCGGAATTTCGGAACATAGAATTTTCTTGACACAGGAAAACAAATCATTTTGGGTAAAGAAAGAATTTCTAAAGATCGTTATCCCTTGACGTTTAAACCGGTTTTTTGGAAAACGGAACAATTAAATGGAAACGTAAATCCAGCAAACCTTTTGTCTTTTATCTTGTAGAGGAAAAAATTCGGCTTT